CCCCAAAACCCCAAAACCCCAAAACCCCAAAACCCCAAAACCCCTTTCTATTAAATCCCGATTGATAACTTCTCTAAAACAGATCTTCTTCAGCAAGTTTGTCATAGAATCCTTCCTTCCTCTTATCCTACAGAATAAAATCAAGGAGCTTACGCTTGGGTTGAGGTCATTGGCCATGAAATCAACATCTTCGTTGGGATTAAGGATGTTCTCCTCGGCAACCCTTTTCTCTCTTGGCTGATTTTCCTCTGGTCTTATAGCTCTGGGTGATCTCTCAACCTTAATATCCCTTTTCTCGTACTGAGACTCTTTTGATTCTTCAATTGGTGAAACATTCTCTTGCATGTTATCTAAATGAATAGGGTTATTCATGAGGACATACCTGGGTTGATATAGGTCGGCGCATTATCAATAGAGTAAAACTCATCAATCCTTGGCTGGTTTGGATCCACAACTTGGTTCCTTCTTTTTTTCAAACTTTTGATACTTTGAGTAACGGTAAAGCAAGCTTTACAGTCACGTTCAATCACGAATGTGAAATCTTGAGTGGAGTTTGTCAGGATGATTGTGATGTCAGTATCATATAAAACTCTAGGGTTGTCTTGGTCTATAAATGGCTGCTCATCTCCTTCTGCATTGCACTCTCTATCTATCTCTACTCCCATCTGAATTGGGCAATCTAGCATCTCTGCTATTTTCTTTGAACATAAAAATGTAGGGAATGGAATTCCTTTAATTCAAAGATCTCTCTTCTGTTGTTTAATTCTAACTAAGTTTTGTTGGTAATAATATGATAAATTTCCATAGTTAAAGAGCCTCTCAATATGAATGACTCTGTCTTTATGAGAATCTCCTGATAACTCAAGACCTTGAGTGGAGAATCTAAAGGTCAAGGTCTCATTCAACTTAAAGCTGTTACCTGAAAATTACTCAACAGACTTACTCATCTCAAAGAAGGAGCTTAAATTAGTAGGTTTGTGATGAAATAGGGATCCATCAGCATCAATCACAGTAGAGTCATCGTCCATTAACTCATTTTGCACTTCAAGGATCCCAATATTAGCCTTCATGGCATAATCATCTAGCTCCTTACTAAACATCATTCCAACACTTACTTAATCAACAAGAACGGACGTTTTTGTGATGAAGAAGAGACAACTTGATAATTTACAATAAACGCTAAACTTTTAACATCATGTAAATTATTCAAATTATTCAAAAGTTTCTTATCAATCTCATATACAGTGTCCTGGTCACCTCATTTATCTAAAATCTCACCGCACACACCTACATTTCGTAAAGAACCTCTCTTGTATCGTCAGCTTCATCCTATACCTCAGCCCCGCTCATCCACCCACTTACTGATTCTGTGACTTATTCCTAAACGTGACTTTCTCCTTCAGGCTGACCACCTCCACTATCTCACAACTTTTATACCTAAAAAAATCCCAAAACTCCACTTACAAGAAGCTGAGTGCCGTTCAAAACCACTTAATTTTCTCAAAATCTTCCAAAATCAGGTACATTTTGTTAAGTTCAATTTTTTTAATAAAACCGGGGTTTTGGGGTTTTGGGGTTTTGGGGTTTTGGGG